TCAACGAACGGGTTTTCGCTGCAGGCGTCCTTAGGAGTGAACTTCACACCAGAGGATGCGCAGAGTCCACAGATTGGTGCATCGCAGCTCATCCGTTATTTATTTCTTAGAAAGCGATCGCCGCTTTGAAACCTCACGGATTTGTTTGTCTGAGATAGGCGGAGCAAGTGAACAGGAGCCTCTGAAGTTAAACAATTTCCGCATTTTAGAGAACACGGAAATGGTTTCTTGCAGGGCAATTTTGAATTGGTCCACTGCATGAGGTATCCACCAGGAACCCGCTGTGTACAAAAATGGCCCGTCAGAAAATCCGCTAGCCGCTAGACAGATTTTTTCCCTGTCAATATAAAATAAAATTCGCCAGACTTAGCGGGGAATCCGCTAAATTGGCATCACTGGTGGCGAGAGCGATTAGGAGGAATCAGATTGCGAGAACGACGAAACATTGGAGCCAGTGCCTCATGCAGCTTATGCCACGTACCTCTGCGAACGAGCACCCTGCCGTTTTAAATGAACTCGAGATCGCCCTTATCGCTTCTGCTCTTTGAAACACGTGCATCACGGACTTTTTGGGGCAAAAAAGTTTGCGTTTTCACTCGGAATTCTTTAATAGCTGTGTTTCATTTACTACGAACTTCGGGATACAGCGAACAGATGGCACGTCACGCTCAAGTTCGTTATAAGCGGGCTCGACTGTACAGGGTTCGTACAGGTTTCCAAAGCGAAAATTTAAGGATATTCAAGGACTTTCCAAGACCTGTTGCAAGTTTTTCAAGGACTCAAAGAGGCATGCTAAGTTAGAATTTTTCACTCTAAAATTTTCAAAAATGAACAATTTTATTGCACTTACAATATATGGATATCGCGATTAAAAAAAAAAAAAGAGCGTAGTCTTTATAACTTCTCGCACCTTCTCCATAGGGAGAGGGCACGATGTCATGCCGGAAAGTTACGTGCTGATGGGCCTAAATGCACATGTGTAGTCAGGCCTTAAAAGGGTCGTGCCACAATAATTGTGGCTTGCGCGCTCCTTGCTGCCAGCTTTAATTATAGCTTCAATAAGCACAATACACACACCAAGATTCATTTATTCTCGCTATATAATTTGTCACCTTTTTGATATGGATAATTTTCAGTTCATGTTTGTGGGGACCGAGTTGTGCAGGTACACAGCAGTGTAGCTGACTTAGTCACGCGATTACAAAGCTTTGCACGCATCATGCCGGTATTGTCAGCTCTTGCGCACATGTGCCACACAAACACCTGAAAAACAAACTCGCGCCACTACGTGCAGCAGTCGCGATGCTTTGCCGGTATGTACGGGGCGGAAGTCCGGAGGTCACTCAGCTGACTACAGATCTGGTGTGACATCACCAGAACTTTTGTTGCCCTTCCTGTAGAGCTACGTCCGTGTTGGACGCGCTCGCGATGGGCCTTGATTAGGAGAATGAGAATTTAGGTACACTTGGGAAGTGACAAAATATATTCTTAAACCCACACGGTGCTTGCGATAGCCTTGAAATTTGATGGCATCACCCCATCTAAAGTGTCGGCTTGTGCACAGTTGACACTCGCAGCACGTTGCTGAACAACCAAAAAGTAACAACTGTGACGGTGGTTGATTTATGCTCATTCTGTGGATACATGTGTGTTCTTTTCTAGCACCGTTCTTGGTTTGTTTAAGCAGCGCGCTTCCAGTGTCGAGCTATGACAGTCATTCATCAGCACTTGTCCTGTGCGCTTTCTTTTCGTGCGTCCTTCGTACTTGAGTGGCGCGCGTTGCATGTATGGGGTTGCTTGCCCTTCTTCCCGTGACATTCTAATTTCTTGTCACATTCACTGCTTCACCCTCATCAGAAACTAACTTTTTTTTCACATGCACTTCTGCAAAATGAGATCATGTGCACCCATGCCGCATTACTGCTTCAGATATAGGGAGTTTGACAGAGCCACACACCAATGTACCACATTTAGGAGGCCGCGATGTCGATATGAGAGTGCACTGCTCATGACATTTAAGGATTTTCAAGGATGGCAAAAACTTCCAGGGCTTTCAAGGGCCTTGAAAATGCATTTTTCAAATTCAAGGGTTTTCAAGGATTTCAAGGACCTGTACGAACCCTGTTATAGTTGCAGCCAAAATGACAGGGCCAAAAAACCTCCGAGATGGCTGATGAGCATGCCGATGCTGCCGACTGCATTGCTGGCAAGAAAGTGAAACTAAGTGTGAGTGCTCTCGCTCGTCATCTGCAGTTTCTGCCGTGCGATACTAATTAATTCAGGTGTGTCGAAATTTCAATAAGCGTGCCTTTCTCCAGCATCTACAACCATGTCGATACAGCTAGTGAAACGTAGTGGTGTCTCATCGACAGCACGGTGGTGTACGACGCAGGCCACACTGTTGAATGTGTGCAGTTGATGCCGTCAATCACAGTCATGGCTCTGCTCTCGCAAACACGTGGGCTTGTGAACCCGCCCCACAACGTCCCCGTGGTGATTGAGTGCTGCGGAATGGTGAAGTACTGCTTTGTGCCTCAGCGTGCTTCGTCCGCCCGTGAAAAGGACGCTGGCTTTCACAACAATCCTAAAGAGAAGGGCATGCCTGCTCTTTTCCTTAGGCTATATTTTCTGCAGTGCAACGCTAGTGACAGTGAACATGAGGATATGTGTGACAATCGCTGATTTCTGTGGCTCCGGCATTTGCAAACAACACATGAGATAATTACTGCAGAGCAGCCGTCTAAATCGCTGCTTCGACAGTCAATAGACTGCCTGTTGATGGCATCTACTAGAAATTCAAAGCAGCATCAAATTACTAAATTCGAGATAATCGTACTTGAATTGCAGTTATGGGTGTCAGCAGGACGCAAGCCTGTGTTGTGTCATAGTAAGAGGAGTCTTGAGTGGTAGGTGCTGGTGTGACTCGGAAAGGGGGCAAGTTTGCCTTAATGCACCCCCTGGCCGATGCAAATGATTGCAGTTTGTCCCAATAATGTTTTTTCAATGAGAGCGACATCATTAGTTTATATTAATATCCCATAGGGCCGTCGCTTGGGTATCAGAATATAACAAATAGTTATTGCTGGTTGTATATACTGCGCACAGGGCCACAAAGATTACCTGACAACCTTTAGTGAATGTGCACTAAACAGCGACAGCAGGTTCCGCGTATGAATTTATGGTAAGCAGTTGCGCGCTTGTTATGGTTCGTATATATATATATATATATATATATATATATATATATATATATATATATATATATGCTTCTACAGTTCATACAGCGGTCACATGCATACGAGCCCCAACGAAATAAAGCTGTCGTGACGGATGTCCTGCACCACTCAGCTGCTTTCACAAGGCACGCTAGCCCGAGGCAATTCTGAATCTAAGTTGTCGGCTCCTTGTCTACAGGCCTTCGCGGTAGGTTTTGGAATGGCACCTCACCTGGTGTAAGTCGCCTACGCTTGTAGCCTGCACGCAATGAATGATTGAAGTACTGGCGAGGCGCTGAAACACGGTTGAAAGCTTATCGAAAAGTGGAGTGTAGGGCGGGTATAGCAAAAGTTACTGTCAGGAAAGTGCTTGCCGTACGTGGTCGATGAAGACGTGGGGCGCTTTCCCCCTCTGAGTTTGACCGTTCATGTCTTTTTCAGCTTCGAGTCTTTATGATAGTTGTGAAAGCTAACACCCTTTTCACGGGTGGGTGGTCATATAGATGCACAGAGTAGTACTCCACCATTGCGCAGCATTCTCCACAGAGACAAGAGGCTGCAGTTTCAAGAAACAAAGCGCTGAGCTTTTAAAATGAGCGTTACAAGCGGACACCCATATTAGAACCGTGTCGGTAGCCAAGGTAACCAACTGAACTGCTTTTTTGCCGAGTTTTACCACGACGGTGGTTTCTCTATAGCGCAGCGCTTCGAAAATGCGTGAATCCTCGAACTGACGTCATAAAAGCATGGTTCGCAGCCCCGCCATGGGTCGCACACTAGGCCAATCGGCAGTTTGTTTTGATGCTTCGGTGGTAGCTTGCAGCAATTTCAACATTGTCATCATGGTCCTTGTGTGAGGTTGCCGACCGAAGCTGGCAAAGTTCGTCATGGCCCACGCTTCTGGGTGCCCTTCGAGATCACAACAGATACAACTGCTGTGGTTAAACGAATGCGAGAAAAGAAAGTTGCAAAACACCTTTATGGAGTGCGCGGGCAGTGCAGGGACAGCTCGCAGAAGAGACTGCCTACAACCACCGAAGATGAGAGAAACGCAACAAAGAAGCTGTTTCCAAACAGCATACACGTATGTCAATTGCGAAAGGATAAGCAACTGAACTTTTTTTTTCATTACTGCATTTTTTGCTCATCTCGAAAAAGTTTTCACAAAATTTGCCCACATAATAAATGCGCCCCCAACTTTGCTCCGATTTTTTCGAGAAAAAAAATGTGTTCATTACACGAATAAATACGGTGCTACAAGCTTCCCTGGCTGGAGAAGTAGTTATGCAACTGATAATACAAGTAATATGAAGTATTGATCAGCTTCCTATTACTAACCCTACACAAGGCCAACTTACATGTGTAGAATGCACACATCCACGCTTCATATATGCTTCTACAGTTCATACAGCTTTCATACAGTCTGCGACCTTTACAACAGTTTATGCATGCAACAAACTTTTGTATATAACCAACCATTATTCTCCCATAGTTTGTTCTGCCGATACTATCAATGCAACAAATTACCCGACTCGCTAGCCTGTAAAATTTGTAAAAGCTTTTCAAATAATAACTATTATATGAAAGCTTTTCAAGAACTGCTGAAATAGAATTATATGAAAATGAGAAACAGTACTCAAGCACATTGACAATGACGCTTGGACTTAAAATGCAAGAGAGGGAAGCTTCGCTTACATATTTTGTAACACTGTGCAACGATGCCATGGCACAGCAGCTCAACACAACAATCACTATGCAACATTAGATGACGACAAAAGGACGAACCTTGTGGTGAGGCTGGATGTCAAGTAGAAGAGGTGGAATCATGCTTACTGCTTCTTGTCGAGTAATGTTGCCCTGATGAAAAAAAAAATTTCCATTGAATCCCAGAAACGCTTAACACACACTATAACAAAGCTGTACAGCTGGCTATGCTAAAGATAATATATTATTTTTCTTAGTTAAAAGAAAAAACTGAAAAAGAATGTTTGTTGACAAGAATATTTTGTCTCACACATGCAAGCATAAAAATTTATTTTATTTTTTTGGTTTAGCATGTCATTAAACATAAATTAAGCTGAACATTAGTTTTGACCTAAGATTTTCATTACTAAAATATTGGCTCCTAAGACATCAGCAGTTTTCTCTATAATTGCAATTGCAATTATGGAGAAACCCCACAAGTGAATTTTCAATGTGACTGCAAGATTAATGTGAACTACAAGTGCAATAAGATCCTATCATGCCCCAAGTGCACTACGCTATGAGTGCGAGGATAAGCCAGGAAGGATGGTCGCAGCTTGATGCGTGCCATCTTGCATCCGTAAGAACAGAATGTGAGAAGAGAGGAACACACAGCAATGGGAAGGTGCCCTTCTATATACTTTTTTCTAGCTATACTGGTCACAATTGCTGTGCTAGCTGTTGGCACACCATATCTTGCAGGTTATCTGCGGCAGGTGCAAGGGCTAACACTAACCGTGAGTTAGAGTTGACTAACCATGTCAACTCCAACACTCGCTATGTTATGTTAGATGAATTTTAACAAGATGCATTAAAGCACAAAGTGAAGCATTCACTCTCCTCTGCCTGAGCAGTTCACCACACTAGCATTATGACATCAAGTCCTTGCAGACCCTGAATGAGATCTCATGCTTGCTTGTTTGCATGACCTCATGCCTGTTTATACGAAACTATGAGACCTACTTTATACAGTCATTTAATACAGTGCAATTCCTACTTAAGCTTTGCCTTTTGGTCCAAAACTTGGCTTTTTCAAACAAGCAACAAAGTAAAGTACGAGTACCTTCACAGGAAAACCATGGTAAAAGCAGTAAAGGTAACACTGCCCCCCCCCCCCTCCCCTTCCTGCCCTAGATTTTTTAGTGAATGTTTATATTGTCACAAATACCTTACCGAGTTGAACCCTCTGCGATTATACTGCTGTAAAAACTGTAATCCAGTAGCCTGGTGTCTTCATGCAAAAATCACTTTGTAGTCAAAAAGGACAACGCGCTGCCTTCCTCCGAAGCATTTTAGGGCAATTAATGAAGTATTTATTAAAAAAACTATATAAAACTTACGTTTCATCTACATCAATCCTGTATTTACTCAAGTAACAAAGAGGTTTTTTTTATCCCTAAACACTATGTACAGTTGGTGCATATGCGTGTGCCCATGCGTGTGTGTATTTATTACGTGAGGTAAATGTTATGAAAACTTCTTAAGAGGAGCAGAATATACAACAGCGCAAAAAAAAAGCTTTAGACAGCTTTCTTTTTGCAGTAAACATACACATACAATATTTGCAAACCAGCTTTTATGGCAATAGCAATTATATGGACAACCCAGGCATATTTTCGCCTTCGCCGTCATGTTCCAGATAATGTTGAAATTAATAATGTCGCTCGGCATGTCATATGTTCTACGTGTGAGTGAAAGTGTCGCCCGCTGCTGCTGAAAACTGCTGAAGCAGAGGTGAAATGAGCTGCCCTTCTCTGCAGTGTAAAAAATCATGAAGATAGGAGCCAGAACGAGGGGCTGCGTAGATCGGGCAGGAAAAGTGCCATATCTCATACCTTTAGGGGGGATAAACAGATGGCTCGCAGCTTTGTACGTATTGTGCTCTTATCGCAAAGCTTGCATTGAAGCCATAGGGAAGCGGCCGAAGTGGGTTGGCATAATAACAACAAATAAGAATAATAAAGTACTTATCTCATTAATTAATTGAAAAGATTGCTAGGGTGGGGAGGCATCGTGTGGCTCTTGCTTCTGTTACCATGACACTAGCGAGAGAAGTGGGAAAGCTGCAGTGCAGCCGTTAAACTTAAGCCAGTGCAGTGGAAAGCCAGTGCAGTCGTTAAACTTAAGAGGATCAAAGTGGGGGGTGTTCTTATTACGCAGGAGAAAAACAAAATAAAGATTTTTATGAGTGCAGTCAGTGGTGAGTTCATCATGAAAGTGCACTCATTCCGTGAGTAATATGGTAGACGTGGCCACGTAGTACATAGACAAATTTCACAGGACATACGTCATGAAAATGTGATGGTACTGTCTTTAGACAGTAGGCAAAAGCTGCCGTGCCTACCACAGTTGCTGCTGCATTTTTTCTGGTGCGTGCGCTGTTTGTCATCGTGCAAGAAAGAAAAAAACGGTGTACCGACAAGCAGTCACAGTGATTTGTGCTGGAAGGCACAAGGAAGACGGCATAAGTTTTTTCATGCTATTATTTTTTTCTTTTTTTTCAGTTTTCCATTTACAAAGACCGCCGCAAGAAATTACCCACAGCTGTGATTGATTGATTGATTGATTTGTGGGGTTTAACGTCCCAAAACCACCATATGATTATGAGAGACACCGTAGTGGAGGGCTCCGGAAATTTCGACCACCTGGGGTTCTTTAACGTGCACCCAAATCTGAGTACACGGGCCTACAACATTTCTGCCTCTATCGGAAATGCAGCCGCCACAGCCGGGATTTGATCCCACGACCTGCGGGTCAGCAGCCGAGTACCTTAGCCACTAGACCACCGCGGCGGGGCAGCCACAGCTGTGAGACACGATCGAAAACTTGTATTCAATACTGGTTCATCGGTTATGTTTTGGAGCAGCTTACTCAACAAAAACAATTAGCTTTGGCCAGCTTTTGTCATCGTAATGTGCCGCATCGCATTTTTTGGAATAAGCCTTGTGTGGAGGCATAGTAGGTTTACCTCAAAACCCGTTATGATTGTGGATAGCATTGTCATAAAATTCCTCATGGTTTCCATTGTTGATATAACTGCAAAAGTCTTGGACACATCAACAGAATTTGGTTATGCTCGTGTGAACTAAATGTGTCACTCAGTCATGGAGCAGCTGTTTCTTTCTGCATTTCATTAAAGCGGCAGCAAACGAAAGGACGACTTTGACTATGCTTTTAATGAATGTATGCGGCTGCGATGACACACCTGACAAGTGTATCGGGCAGAGCTGTTCAGGCTGTGATGCACTTCATGAGGTTTTCACTTCTGTTGGAATTCACAGAAAAACAGCACCCAAGATACTTGGAGAGTCTGTTTAAAAGCAGTATGCTATTCGGGGTTTCGAATTGAGTACATGAAGAGAGATGTGAAGCATCTCTCAGACAGGTACGTAGCCACATTATTCACAGCAAGTAGTTGAAGCATTATCGCAAACTTATCCCAGATCACGGAGCAAGAAAGGCGGGAGGAGAAACTTGGAGCCAGCGCCAGCGCAAGCACACGCTGCGATAATGTCACCTTAGGAGAGGAGGTTGGCAGACGAGAACGCAGCGAACCTTGCGGCGACGCACAGAACTATTTGTTTAATGCCGCAGGAGCCACGAGCACGAGCACCCACGGTTGTTTGCATGAATAAGATCAACCTAATCATTTGCATGAATAACTTCTCCGGCACATTTGTTATATGAAAGGATTGACTGTGACGGTTCGTACTGTATCTGCTTGCATAATTCTCGTACCGACACCCTCCCCCCCCCCTAATTGCCCAGCAAAAATGAAATGTTTTTTTCTTTCCAAGAGTAATTATCCCACCCCTGAAAAATGCAGCAGTGATGTTGCCTGCCCCTTTCAACCACTGATGATGATCATGCACGACAGCTGGTGCCATCTCTTAAGCATCGTACATCTTATCAACGCACAAGTCCCAATCTGCCAAGCCAAAGTGGCAAGCGCACATTGCGCCGTGTTAATGTTGGTACACTTTGTGTCCGTACTGTTATTACGCTATGGGGTGATACGGAAGTTACACAGCTGCTTCAATGTTGAAAATGATTGATCATACACTAAATAACGGCAACAGGGCCGCGGGTAGGCACTTTGGAGTTGATGAGTTTTGAGTTCAGTACTGGCCAGGAGCTGAAAGCCACCAAGATGCATATGGCCTTCCGTGTGCCTAAGACTGGGACAAATAAAAAAATTTTATTTCGTCAAAAGGCAACTGCTGACGATTCTGTGTTAGATGAACATTAGACCAAAGTTGACATCGTACGATAACCTTTTGCGCACTCCTGTTTAGTGATGAGCGCTAACCTTATACCCGCAAGCTTTGCATACGGTATTTCTCTATTTGCTAGCACCTTTCGTGTCTCAAATAAATCTCGCCTTGTGTTGGACTTGTGGTTTTTATTGTTAAGGTAAGTCTTTATTACTACTTCTCAAAGCTTGTAGTAAGTTGCTGGCGTGAGGATACAGGTTCGTGGCCATTTCGTTTTCTTTTTCGCTCTGTACATTTTTGCGGAAAATTTTTCCCGTGTATTTCTTGCACCCCTCAACTTTTCATCGGTTTTCCACGAAAAGGGTGAGGATTACATGAGGAATTATGGTAACTATGTATTCTTACTCCGCAAGTTTGCATATTATACTTAAGTGCCTCCTAAATTGCTGAACTGGGTCGGTCGTTCTAGCATCAGTTGACAAATTCAAACGCACATGCGCAACCTAGACTGCCGGAATGGTGATGACATTTCACAAATGAGTCACATTCACACCATGAAGATACCTAACATTTTGATGTGGTTCTCAGAGATAGAGCTACACGTCAACATGGCTCATATGTTCACTTCCGAGTCCCCCCCTTTCAGCCACTGCTATTCTCTCTGTTGCAGCTGCCGCATGTGAAGAAAAGGAAGGCACCCTGACAAGCGGTGCTTGGAGGCAGCTTTTGCACCTGCCACGCCAGTTGTCACGTGATCATAGAGGGTGGTAGCAAGCTTGGACTGGCAGCACGGCTGGGCCAAACGACGGGCTGTGACATCGCTACAAGGACCTTAAATATATTGACAGCACCTACCCCTGTTTACATACATGGAGTAGGTCTATATGACAACTGCAAGTGCATATGAACACAAGACTGAACTAAAATTGTTTCTACTTACTGTGTCTGTTTCTGATATCAGGAAACTGTGGAGTCTTGCATAAGCCTCAGATTTCCGTATCATGATGCGAGACAGATCAAGCTGCCATGCCAGTTCATTCGGATACCTATTTTACAGATACAACAGCAAATAAATGACAACACACAGTGCAACTAGACAAAAATCAAACTACTATACTTCTTACGTGTGGAAGGGATACGTATTCCCATCCTCAGCAAGTCAACATCCTCAGTGTGAGGAACTGTACAGCTGATGCACACAAACTTTTAGGAACAAAGTAAAAAATCGCACTAATATTCTCTTTCCTGAGATGTTCTCATTAAGTTAAGGCTTTAGTGATGAGCTACATAATTTCCCCAATCTTCCATTTTTCTTGTTCAGAACACACATTCACTTCAATAATGATAATTAAAAAAAGGAAGTTTGGCCTAATTCAAGCTTATTTGCAATTTTTACAGTTGCTCCAATTCTTAGCTCCTCAAGCAAATCTCTTTTGACAGCAAGTGCAGAAGCTTGTCCTCTATGAAAGGGAACATGCACTCCATGAAAGAGAACACATAAGAATCACACTTTACTTCAGCGGCTTTAAGGCAAGCCTGTGCAGTCATAAATAGTAATTGTACAGCAATATAAGCCATACTAAAGGGTTTTGAGAATGCGAAAAGTTGTGAAAGCAGCAGTCATGGAATCTCTGTTTTTGAGGCAAAGATATCCGTGGCCCTGGTAGAGGTGATGTATGTCCCCACCTGCACGTGTAGCCGATAGACACAGCATTCAACCTTTATTAAGCCATGCAGGAGAGAGAAAGGTCACGTGAAAACAGGGAGGTTAATGAGAAGAAAACTTTTCGTTCACTACCCTGCATAGGGAAGGGGTAAGACATCAGGAAACTGTAAGAAGGGTCACACAGAGAAAAACAGGTATTTAGAACAAATAAGGATATGAACCACAAAAAGAAACTGCATGCTTTGTGACTAGAGGCATGTGAGCTGTGTAATTGCTTTGTCTTAGTATATATCTGAATAATAAACATGAATTCATTGAGTGGTGAGTTAATTAGTGCAAGTTAGACATCAATATAATGTGCACAGTAAAACAGCCACAGCGCATGGCTTCCACCTTCAAGTTATCATATATATATATATATGTGTATATATATATATATATATATATATATATATATATATATATATATATATATATATATATATATATATATATATATATTGTGGGAATTTAGTAAACCCATCCTCTTCATCTTAGATTATCATTATTGTCATGCGTTGCTCATGCATTCTCATCGTTGTCGCGTAGGATCATCATCTTGGTTCATTCATTGTAGCTGTCAGCTGCCGGTTCCTCGGGCTTAATCAAGGTCTTCCAAACCAAGACTTCAGATCTTGGTAGTTTCCTACATTGGAAGGTAGTGCAGGACCCGACGTACCGAGCTACGCTAGTGGTAATGCCTGGCCAATAAAACCGACTTCGAAGGCAATCATAGGTTTTATGGTAACCAAGGTGACCAGCAGTCGGATCGTCATGAAGCGCTCTGAGGACTTCGGACTAAGGCGATCGGGGTTGAACAGGAACCCAGCGCTGATCGTCAGGATGGTAAATTTTGCGGTACAGCACCGACTTGTCCAGCTTAAATTGCGAGAGTAGGCGACAAAGCCTCGCATTAGGTGGACAGGAACTGCCAGTGAGGTAGCCTATAATACACCTGAATGCTTGAGGTTTCGTCAGCCGGGTAGATGAGCCGCCAGTTCCGAGGAGGTCCGCGAGAGATGGGCTGGTGTTCTTTCATGACATAACAAATCATTATAAACTAGAGCGGAGGTTTTATCCACCCCTGCACAAGCGGTTGACTAAGGCGCAGGAATGCGTCTGAAGAAAACTGCAGACGCGATCTTTTCCCAACCCTTACGTGTTGAACAAAATGTGCCCGGAGGAGATTAAGCCGCAATGCAAATGGTGTCAGGCTGTGGCAACATATGATCACATACTTTGGGAATGTAGCATAGTGCCGCCTGTGGATATTATGCGTGATCCCTCTCTTGAGCACTGGGAGGCCGTGTTGACCAGCTCAGACCCAGTCGCCCAGTTAAGGGTCGTGGAGTGTGCCACACAGATCGCCGCCAACCTTGGGTTGATGGCCATCTAACACGGAATCATCCTCAGATACTTTCTGACGAAATAAAGTTTTACCATCCATCCATATAATACGCCGACAGTATGGGTCAGCCAGCTGTCTAGAAGGAAAATCGTGGTGGTAATCCGAAGGTAGCTGGTCTACAGAGGCGAGAGGGGGATCCGCCGTAGACGTGGACTCCGAGGGTGTGAGGTGCAAAGTAATTGCGGAAACGCCAAGTAGAGCCACTGATAGCGGGCAGCGAGAAAGAGACTCGGCGTCACTATGCTCTCTGCCACACTTGTATAGGATGTCAAAAGCATACTCTTGGAGGCATAGAATCCAGCGGCCAAGGTGTCCCGACAAGTTCTTGAGTGTCGAAAGCCAACATAAAGCGTGGTGGTCGGTCACAATGGTGAAATGGCGGCCGTGCTGATAGGGACGAAATTTCTGCACTGACCAAACGATGGCGAGGCACTCCTGCTCGGTGATCGTGTAGTTCCTCGCGGCTGTGGAGCGGGCGCGGCTGGCGTATGCAACAACTCGCTCTCTCGAAGCGTTGTCGCCTTACAGGAGCACGGCTCCTAAACCACGACCGCTAGCGTCTGTGTGCAGAAAGGTCGGTGCATCATCGTGAAAATGGGAAAGTACAGGGTCAGTCGTGAGGGCACTCTTCAAGATGTCGAAAGCCAATTCACATTCCTGAGATCACTCAAAGGGCATACCGGAAGCAAGTAGCTTATGGAGTGGTGCAGCTATGGAGACAAAGTTTCGTATGAATTGCCGAAAGTAAGAGGCGAGACCAAGAAAACTTCGCAAATCTTTCGGTTTGTCAGGGTGAGAAAAGTGAAGCACCACAGCAGTTTTATCAGGGTCTGGACGAATTCCGTCCTTGCTCACGACATGACCAAGGACCTTGATAGATCTGCTAGCGAAATGGCACTTCTTGGTGTTAATTTGAAGACCAGCTCCCGCAAGACAAGTCAGGACCTCATCCAAGCATTGCATATGTTGAGGAAACGTCGATGAAAAGACAACAATGTTATCGAGGTAACATAGGCAAGTCTTCCATTTCAGGCCATGCAGCACGGTGTCAATCTTGCGCTCAAAAGTCGTGGGCGCATTGCATGAACCGAACGGCATAACATTGAATTTGTGTAGGCCGTCCAGGGTTGCAAGCGCAGTTTTTTCTTTATCAATCTCGTGCATGGGGATTCGCCAATAGCTGGAACGCAAGTCGAGGCTCGAAAAGAATTCAGCACCTTGTAAGGAAACCAGGGCGCCGTCGATGCGTAGCATGGGGTATGCCCGGTAATCGACGCAAAATCATACTGAACCATCTTTTTTATGCACCAGAACGATACGAAATGACCAAGGACTGGTTGAGAGCCGCATTATGTCCCGTTGCAGCATATCGTCTACGTTTTCAATGATTTTTCGTTAGTCTAGAGAGACGCGGTACGGGCGGCGGTGCACTACGGATGTTCCGTCGGTCTGAATACGATGTGCTGTAGCAGTAGTCTGGCCCAGGGTGGATAAATGGACGTCAAAAGAGTTTGCATACTTTTCCAACAAATCCAGCAGCTGCTGCTTCTGTGAGTCTGTCAAGTCTCTGCTGATGGATGCTGTAGAGGCCGAGGAAGCAGTGGGATCAGCAGAATGGCGTTTAGGGGAGACAGGGGTAAGAGGCACGACGCACACAGGCTCAAGATCGGCAACGGAGGAGACAGTAGTGCCTTGCGGCAGTAAAAATTTATCTGGTGAGATTTTCGTAGCAGCGAGGAAAGCTGATCTATTGTTGAAGCGAGCCACACCTGATGCGAGAGCTATGCCTTCATTAAGGCAACGGGGAAACGGAGTGCCCAAAATGTTACCAGAGTCCACGTCGTTGGAAAAAACTGAGATTAATTGCTGTTCGTGTGGTGGTAGCTCGATGTCTACAGCAGCGATGAGTCGAAGTGGCTCGTAAGTTTCGTCGCTCAGCAAGTAGTCTGTGTCAGTGATATGGACGACATGTTGTGCACAACAAATAGCCGCGGAAGTGGAGGAAAGAAAGTCCCAGCCTAAAATGAGTTGGTGGGAGCACGGAGATAGCACAGCTATTTTTATATAGTGAAGAATATGCGACCTTCGAATAACGTTTTCCATGCTCTACCACTGAGCTACCACGGCGGCTATCCCCCCAGCCACTTTATTGAGTCCAAAAACGAGCCAATCGAACGCGTTATTCGAAGGTCGCAGGTTCGGTTTTTGCCCACGGCAAGTTATCTTTTCACCCACTTTCTTTCTTCACATTCACATTACAATTCGATCTAATAACTTTCCCTATTCTTTCCTTGACATTATTGTCTGTTAGATCTCAATAATATTGTGTAAAAACAGAAAAACAAGCCCTTAAGTATACACTTCTTTCCCTTATTCATTAACGAGGGTCTCGTACTCGCAGACTTGGTGCCTCAGGTTGTATACGAGGGACTATTGGTCAGCTGCCAGCTCGTAAAAGTTCACGTGCTACGTGACGCTAAACAGGATCATAAAGAGTGTGTGCCACACTTCCCACCATGGCTACTAGTGGCACTGACTGACACTCTCGTGTTTAAATTCACACATATACCCAACAAAGTGGCTGGGGGGATAGCCGCCGAGTAGGCTCAGTGGTAGAGCATCGAACGCGTTATTCGAAGATCACAGGTTCCGTTCCTGCGCCCACGGCAAATTATCTTTTCACCCACTTTCTTTCCTCACATTCACATTACAATTCGGTCTAATAACTTCCCCTATACTTTCCTTCGCATTATTGTCTGTTAGATCTCACATATATATATATATATATATATGAGATATAACAGACAGTAATGCCAAGGAATGTACAGGGGAAGTTATTAGAACCAATGGAATGTAAATAAGAAGAAAGAAAAGTGGATGAAAAAATAACCAGCCGTGAGCACGGCAGAAGTGTGTGTCTATATATATATATATATATATATATATATATATATATATATATATATAGACACACACTTTTTTTTTTCTCCTCTTCAATGGCATCCCTGGTGCGACTAGTGCAACTAGTGCGACCGATTTTACTGATGCTCCAACTGTTAAGTTAGCTGTCCTAAGATGTACTTACACAACGATTGCATTGCTCACCTATCAGCAGTAATTATTTTCTACACAAATAAAAGGCATAAGTACGCTGTTCACATAAATAAATGCTGTAACCTTTAATATTTGCTTCAACTTTTCCGTCTTTATGCCATGTGCTTGCACATAGAATACAAACTTGAAAGGGAAATGCATAGCTTAGCATGTCAATCATTATCAACAAAGACAACACACCTAAATTCAATTCAAGTAGCAATTCTGCTTTATTTATGAATACAATAATGTTTTTAACATGACACTTACCACGTCAAGTTAGATGGCTTCCCAGCCTTTACTTCATCTCCATCAACATTTAAAAGTCCTGCAAAGTACTGACTTTTGATTATGTTCAGCAAGTATTTGGATTCCCTGAAAGAGAGATACAAATATATGAAACATGAAACACAAACTCTGCAATGTGCATACCACTACATACAAACTTGCATTTGGGCTCCGTGTTTTGGTGAAACACTTTCAAAATTGAAATTTTTGTACGTGAACGATTCTGAGCAATATTCTAGGTCCTTGCAACTGTACTTATACTGTACCAACTGTAATGCCTTCTATGATTTTCTCACCGCCAAAACTCTCCCAACATTTGCCAATCACCCTGCCTTTTGTACCTAACCTAGCATGCATGACCTTGACTTTTTCCTGTAACAACCTTGGTGATATACCATAAAATTGAAAGTGACTGATGGCCATGAGTTTGTGTCCTTTATTGTGAGTATATATCCGGAAAAGAAAGGCAAGGGACTACCTTGTGATACCTCAAAATTCTCATACAATGACACATGCATCTCAGAGGGCTGCAGTGCTTAGCATTGTGATGAACATGCTGATCGAATCGGTTCAGTGAGAGGACACACCCCTTGCGTCAGCATGTTGTGTATGCTGCAAGAATTCTTGCAACCAAACCCTCCAAAAAAAGGCATACCAGCTCAATTGTTTAGGAAGTCTTAGTAGCCACTCAAAAATAAACGTATATATGAACATAAATATGCCTGAAAAGCGACTAGTTAGTTTGTGGTGTTTAACATCTTGAAGCAACAGTTCGACTAAGGGACATGCTGAAAGACTTAGGATTAACTTTGAGCACTTAGCATTCTAAATTGACTTGAAGCTAAATATATGAGCGTTTCTGCTTTTCTCCCCATCAAAATGGGGCTGCGGTGGATGGTAATCAAGTCTTTGTGTTTAGCAGTCTAACACAACAGTAAATTTAGTGAGTATACTGAGGAAATGTGAAAGGGTCATCTAAAGTTCTATAATAACTTAGCAGTTAACAATGTAAATAGCACTCATGCATTTAAAGCATATAGAAAAAAAGTTTCCATAAAATTAAAAATTTGTGCACTAGCATGACTAGACTAACTTCCCACTGTCATACAATATGTTAAAGAAACCGACAACTAATTTTTCTAGAATCATTTTTTTTACCGAGCAACAGAAAGCTCACCCTTCACAGTGTTTTTAGCTACAGTAGTTAATCCCAAAATCAGATTGTTATTTCACAAACAGTATTTTTCAATTTAAAAGGACCTAAACACAGGTGTATCTTTCCTCCAGCAACGCTGAGAATTGATAGCGATGCCGCCAGCCCTTCTAGCGATTTGTGAAAGCTGTCATCGTCTTGCTTTCAGAAGAGTTGCTGTAACTATGCTTCATCATCATCATCATCAGCCTGACTACGCCCCCTGCAGGGCTAAGGCCTCTCCCACGATCTGCTAAGCAACCCGATCTAGTGCTTTCCGTTGTCGCGTTATACCTGAAAACTTTTTATTCTCATAGGCCCACCTAACTTTCTGTCTCCCCTTCATCCATTTGCCTTTTCTGGGCATCAAGTTAGTTACCCTAATGAGCAGCGGTTATCCTGCCTATGAGATATGTGCCCGGCCCATGTCCATTTCTTCTTTATTTCAGCTATGACATCCTTAAACTCGGTTCATTCCCTGACGCACTCTGCTCTCTTCTTGTCTCTTAAGGTTACGCATACTTTCCTTTCCATCGCTCACTGCGTCGTCCTCAAAGCTGAACCCTCTTTGTATGCCTGCAGGTTTCTGCTCCGTAGGTAAGTACTGGTAAGATGAAGCTGTTATATACTTTCCTTTTGAGGGTTAGGGGCAGATTACTATTCATGATTTGAGAATGCTCGCCGAATATGATCCACCCGATCCTTAATTCTTCTAGTTATTTCACTCTCATGGTTCGGCTCCGCAGTTATTACCTGTCCTAAGTAGACATAGTCTTTTACAACTTCCAGCATCTCTCCACCTATTTCAATGTGCTGTTTTCTGACCAGACTTGCACATTATTTTAGTTTTGAGCATAGTATTTTCAGACCTACTTTTCTGCTTTCCGTGTTCAGTTCTGTAATCATGACCTGTAATTTGTACCCTGAGTTACTCATCAAGACAATTTCATCAGCGAATTGCAGGTTACTAAGATACTCTCCATTTACTCTTATCTGTAATTCTTCCCAATCTAGGGTCTTGAAAACCTCCTGTAAACACACGGTCAATAGGATTGGAGAGATCATGTCTCCCTTCCTTACACCCTGCTTTATTGGGATTCTGTTACTTTCTTTATTGAGAGCAATGGTGGCTGTAGATTCACTGTAGATTTTTTCCAGTATGTTTATCTAGGGTTCTTCAATGCCCTGATTTCATTGTGCCTGCATTATTGCTGATGTCTCGACTGAGTCAAACGTCGTTTTGTAATCTATGAGGGCTATGTATAGGAATTGGTTGTATTCTGCGCATTTCTCTATTACCTGATTGATTGTATGAATACGGTATATTGTGGAGTAGCCTGTACGAAATCCTGCTTGGTCCTTTCATTGATTGAACTCTAATGTCACCTTAATTCTATCAGCAATTATTTTTGTAAATAGTTTATAGAGAACGAACAGTAAGCTGATCGGCCTGTAATTTTTTAAGTTCTTGACGTCTCCTTCCTTATGCATTAAGATGATGTTGGCGTTCTCCCAAGATTCTGGTACCCTTCCTGTCAAGAAACAATTCGTATATAATGTGGCTAGTTTTTCTAAAACAATTTCTCTGTCATCTTTCAGGAGGTCCGTTGTTAGCTTATCCTCACCAGCAGCTTTGTCTCTTTGCATTCCTTCTAGGGCTTTTCTTACTTCCCCCATCAATACTAGTAGGATGTCGAACTCCTCTGGACTATTATTGTTTCTCAATATATCATCCTGACTGTTTTTGGCTTCTGTACAACTCTCTGTAGGTCTCCTCTACCACCTCGACTATCCTATCCATATTGTTTATAACGTTGCCTTTCTTGTTCCTTAATGCATACGTTCAATTTTTGCCTTTGCACAAGTTTGCCTTCGCAGCTTTTAGGCTTCTGCCGCTTTTTACAACCTGGTCAATTCTCTCAATGTATACCTTCGGATGTCGGCTACCTTACGCCTATGCATTAACTTCGAAAGCTCCACTAACTCTATTTTATTGGTTGCAATTGAGGTTTTCATGGCTTGTCGTCTCGTAATATAATTTCTCGTCTCCTGAGATGGTTTGCCAGTGCCCTGTCTAGTGACTGTACCTCCGACTTCCATTGCACTTTTTGATGATACTAGTAAGATTATTATACATTGTGTCAACACTAACGTCGGTTACCTTGTTTAAAGCCTCGAATGTATTCTGAAGCCAAGCTCTGAATTTTTGTACTTTCAGTTTTGCCGCTAGCTCATTAATTGGCTTTATCAGTTTTTGTCTGCTTTTTTAAATCTAGGTGAATACAAGCTCTTACCATTCTATGGTCACTGCATCGTATCTTGCCAACTACTTTGACATCCTGTACAATGTCTGGGTGTGCAAACAGAATGAAGTCTATTTCATTTTTAGTTTTACCAGTAGGTCTTTGCCTCGTCCACTTACGGTTAGCCCATTTTTTGAAAAGGTGGGCAAGATCTGTAAATTATTATGATCTGCAAACTCTACTAATAACGGCCCTCGGGGATTTCTAGAGCCGATGCGATATTCCCCCACTGCACGGTGTCCGGTCTCTATTTTGCCTATTTTGGCATTAAAGTCGCCCATTAGAATAGTACTGTGACTTTAATTTATTAATGACTGACTCTACGTCTTCATAGAAGCGTTCAACCAAATTATCTTCATGGCTCGATGTAGGCCTGTACCACCTTCATCTTGTACGTTTTGTTAAACTTATATTACTTATAAACTTATAACTTTTATTACTTGTTAAACTTATATTACTTTTGTTAAACTTATTATAATACTTGCCACCCTCTCACTGATGCTATAGCATTCCTCTATGTCGCCAACGATATTCTTGTGCATGAGAAACCCCAACCGCTAGTTCCTTTCTGTCAACTAATCCACGGTAGCATAAGACGTGTTTAACCATTTTTATTTTGAGCTTTTCAACTATTTTTGAAAATAACAAGCTGTTACAATGATATGATGTCCCATTCCCTGTATTTGTGCCATGTTGTCACATTGTATGTGCCCCTGCCCAAGGTTTCCTGCAGCTTGGTCATGTGTGGCTTGTCCTGGCTTCGGTTACTCTCTGAATACACGAGCCAAGCCAAGTCACTGAAAATTTCACTACACATATGAACGACCATGCCGCGTAGCACTGCCCGTCATTTGTGAGCTGACGTTTAGGTAGCAAAATTATGTTGATCAAAACCTTAGTGATCTGGGAAGTGCATGCACTGTTGCATGAACGTGCTGAAAACTTGCTCAAGACGCGCCGACGAGCATGGGATCACTACGTCAAGCGAAGACAGTAACATTTTAATGCATACAACTAACATATTGCCTAAATGTACATTTTTTTGGAATACTATTTTTTAACATAAAGAAATCAACAATAATTGAAGACCAAAAAAAAAAAAAGCCAAGCGAATACAGCAATCAACGATCACGTGGCTTGGTACATCCAATCGTTCATGTTTTCGCTGAACGATTGCATGTACACGAGTCACTCTTCGAGACTTTCAAAGATGAAAAAAAAAATAGATCTACCTCCAACACACACACACACAAAAAACAAGATTGGTTAGAGTCAATGCGACGGACAATTTTTCTACCAGTGAGTGCTCTCATTTCATGTTCTGGGCCGTTGTCGGTCGCTTTAAATAAAGCAGCCAAAATCTTCTACTAAAGAAAATAGCTTCAGAAGATAGGCGCCACTCATTACATGTTTAAACAGCAATGCTCTATAGGCAAGGTTTTACATGAGCATCGTATAAACATGCTTATGTGCTTGTAAATGATAGAACTGTCTGTTACAAGTAGCAACTTCAACAATCTATATTTCACTTTATTAAAAGTAATTGTAATTTCAATATAGAACAGTGCAGTACTCATTCTATCCATCACATCGATGGCCAGTACCGATGTTCAAGACGAGGAAAATACTACAATATTTTAGAGTGATTCGTGCTTGCAAAACAGTGAGAGGCAAAAAATATGGCTGCTTACGGAAGAAATCCTGTAATTCTAAATGCAACAGGCAGTCCACGTCGCAGTGCAGCCATGAAGTCATCCCATTCTTTTTCAGGTACTATATTCTGTGCCTGTTTATGATGAAAAAAGAACATGCACTCTTTCAGGAGCACTTAGCAGATCAATTATAGCCTACAAGAAAAACAAGGGGCTTTGTGACACAGTGGAATAGCTTTAGGCCTTCCACTGATGACTAAGCACACACCAGGGCCTCAAAAAGCACCGGCCACAGTGTGTACAAATTTGAATCGCTGAGTGCTGTACATGCACCAGTTCAATGTGTTAAGAACTAAAAAGAGCACACAAACTGTGTACTACAGAATTATATAGCCAAGTAGATTTAAGATGGGATGTTACTTGAGAAATGCAAGTTGAAAAAAAAAAAGATTCCTTGTTTTTGCTTGTTTTCTCAATTTCAGTTGCTCTACTTTCATGACAACAAAAGTCAACACTGTAATAAAATTGGAAATGGGTTAAAGTAGCATATAAAGAGCAGAAGGTGGCTGCTAAAACCTATAAAGTGTGCCCTGTCTAGAGTCCCCTGACTAATGTCATGCAGCTGCTTGCCATTGCAGCTGGTGTGAATAGTTCTCCAAAACCATTTTCGCAATATAAGTTCCAAAGCTCCCATGAAGAGAGAAAAAATAATACTAAAAAGCATACCTTTGCCACACAGACAAGCTTTTACCTTACCTTTCAAATGCGGTTTTCTTAAATTCAATTTTCAGCAACTTTTAGAGTTGGGACATCCATCATCTGGTACTTGCGATGCTCAGATGCAGATGAAATTTTCCAACATTCTCCAACGCATGTGAAGACTGCGCTATGTTTTTTAAACTTTACTTATATAATTAGCACAAATGTCTAGTAACTAATTACTTGGGTGTGAACATTTAAAGACCTTTGCAGGTTTCAATTTTTTTCAAATGCTCATTGACAAATTTTGAACACATCTTCAGGAAGTTTTTGGTAGTCCACAGTAGATGTAGAGGAATATGAGCCATTAATGGCAGATGAATATGTAAGTTTAGTAACAGAAAAATTGGGCACCAAAAGGTCTACATTTTACACATTTTCATGATGCAGAACGAAAACTATGCCACTCTCTACAGAGCTGATTAAGTTTCTGAAATCAGAATAAAAACTATGTGAACAGCAAGCAGTTATTGCAATAAGCTATACATAATTTTTTTTTCAGCAGCCCATATACCTTTTAACCCTCATCTTTTCATATAAAGAGCAGCATGACCCTAATCTACAGGCTACTTGGTTTTACCAGACTTAGCAACACGAAGCACTTGCAAAGAAAATAACGACTCCACATTAGCAATACCCAATAACAACGAAACCATGCGGACAAATAAGTCTCAATTCCTTCAAATTATGAAGATTAAATATAACACAAGCAAAAGCTCTAGGTGAATCCTGATACAAGTGAAGAGTATTCTACCCTCTGTAAAATTTTGCTTTTTCAACATTTTGAGCATGGCATTGCAACAAAAAAAATTTTATCCACATTTTTCTCACAATATAAATTTGCATCTTTTTTATTGTGGCCATGTCACTTATGCTCTCACGAAAAAGTCCACAATCATTTCTTACGTTTTAAAACTTGCAATGAACACAGAGTGTCAAAAACCAGTAATATCTTTGTCACTACCTTGTGGAAAGCATGTTTAATCCATGTATGTGTTTGATTTTTCTAGGAGAGTTTCCCACGCACTTATCAGATGACTTTTATTTTTGTTAATTGCACATCACAGTTGTAGACGTACATGAATGCAAAAGCATTTTGAGATGCGGCAATTGCTTTATAAGTTCTGATCATTGGAATGAGAGGCAAGTTCAGCACGTGTGATTCAAAAACATCGATTTTAAAACTTAGACAATTTTTGTCACAGCATGAAATGACTGATAGCACTAAAGCTGTCTTTCTAACAAGGGGCAGCTGCAATAAATATTGTATTCCCTAAAATAAAACTTCGTTATAGCAGAGAAATCATATGCATTGTGGAGCATGAATGTGTTCATCGCTCCACAACACATGTGCACCACTCAGTGCTCACAGTGCATTCAATTGAAACTGACACACTAGGTTTTGATAATGTTGGCAGAAATCTTAAGGCGCAATGTTTATAAGAGAGGTAAAAATAATGCTATAAAAAACTTGCCTTGTAGTATTTTTCAAATGCTTCGTTGCTTCTTTCAATCTCGGTGTACAGTGGAGGTCCACCATTCCCGTTAACCTTTTCCATAAACATATAAAAAATTCACTGACGTTAACAAATAATCCTGCAGAATAAAATAACGTGAGAAATAATGCGCTTTCTTAGGCAACATAAATAAACACTAAGCATTTTACACACTACTGAAAGACATGAGAACAAGGTTTTTCGTTGGTAAAGTTAGACAATATTTCAACAGCAAGACGAAATCAACAACCAACTATTATTGCTTCTTGGGGCACGGAGCGAGATCAAGCTACAACGTCAAAAATGTTTTCAAGCACTGTAGTAAAACTGGGTGCACCTTTTGAGGTTTTTCTGCTCTTGGTGTTTTTCCTTGCTTTTTCTTTTGACGCTTTCTGCCCATTGCTACAAGAGTCTGGCTATCCTCTCACACACGTGCAACCGTGAATTTTGCGAGTCTTTCTTTTCTCACAAAACCCATCCGGGTAACTTGTATCTGGGGAAGCTTTCGCCCCGCTTGTTCGTTTAAGATCTCTGCCTAGGTACTACCTAGGAACATTTTATTTCTAGGCGAGCTTGTTGCTGTCTTTTCGGAGTTGGCGCGCGAGGTTGATGTTGCTGGACGACGGTGCAGTGCGTACGTGATTTGCCGACGAGATGTGCAGCCCTGCCGTCACTTAACGTCCGTACTTGTTTTTACTTCCGTCTACCGCTTAGAGTGTCTACCGCTTCCGTCTACCGCAGTACCTAGGCATAGAGAGATCTTTATGGAGCAAGCGGGGCGAAAGCTTCCCCAGAAAGGCTCGTGTGAATTTTCCCTGCTGGCTGTGGCTAGAGATTTTTTTGGTTTCATTCAAATGTGTCCGTGTGTCCTCGAAGGCGCTTGTATGCGACCAGTGAAAATAAATATCAAATACAACGCATTAGTATAAAAATATTTTAAAATAAAAGTAGAAGTTATTGTTTCCTGTACCACATTTTATATGTAAAGAATTGACACAAATGACCGGTGCAGCCGTACAGTACACTAAACTTTTTGTCTGGCAACCACAAAATTGTTGCGTTTGTTTACTGTTGTTGTTTTTAGCAGTTTTTTTTTTTTTTACGCTCACTGGCACGCTAGCACTCGCAGTTCAGCCTGGTTCAGTTGTCCGAGGGTTTGCATGGTGATGTGTCATGAGCTAATCTAATAAGTTCTCATTTCATCTCACAACTTCACTGGTTACAATGTCGGACGCACAGCCCGGTTCATCAACGTCGAGTAAGCGATCGGAACAATTGGAGCGTTTACGCGCTCTTCACATGCGACGGGTAAGTAACGCGCGTCGTAGTGAAATCGGCACGTTTTGTTGACGTTGTGACATGTTGATGCTGTGAAAAATATGGCGTAAGCGAGAGACCCTGATAAATGCTGATTAGTTGCTATTTGCTTTGTAGAATGAAGCCAGAACGCTGAATCACAAAGAAGTAATCGAAGAGGACAGGAAAGCGAAATTGCCAGCCAACTCCGAGAGCAAGCAAAAGTGGGCACAGTACAAACTGGAAGAGGAGCAGAAATATGAGGTTAATGAGCGGGTTGTAACCTTGTAGATTTAACTTCTCTTATTGCCAGTGAGTCATGTTGCAGATGAATATAAGTGCATTCTGCGAGTCCACGCCGTAATAGTTGGGTGTTTTTGCTTGTAGGAGGCCGCCAAGAGAGGAGAAGATTACTCCCGGATCAAACTGCTGAGCGTCAGTGCTGATGAAGCAGAACGCTTTGATCGTAAGAAGAAAAGGAAAAACCCCGACGTTGGTTTCTCTGGTTTGTTTTGCTTCTTACGATGCATTGCTGGTTAATTTATATGACCATACGGAAAGCCATTTTTGAACACGCGTAGGTTTATGCGAGTCACACTGTTTTGCATTATTGCAGATTATGAGGCTGCAACTGTCCGGCAATATCAGCGTCTTGTGAAGCAGATCAAGCCAGACTTCGATCAGTACGAAAGGAAAAAGGAAGAAATGTAAGTTTTGTCCAAACTACAATTCTGTGTTGGTTTCTTTTTGGAAGCTAGACAATATTGCATCCTTCTGTAGCACCAGTGCTGTTACTATACTATGCAGTTTTTGTGAAGGATGATGTTTTCAGCGTCGCTAGAAATGGGAAGAGAGGCAGCTTATTGTGGAGGTTTTACAATTAAGCAAAATGCCTGGCATTTACGGTGGGGGCCTGCCAATAAATGCGAGGCACTAACACCGACATCCTTGAGGCCGGCAAGAAAGCAGACTGTCATAAATAGCACTGATGTTATCTTCACTGTATGAAAATGTTAACTCAGGATAAACATGTTATAGCCATAGGAATGATTACAGGAAACATTCAGTTGTCATAAGGTACTGCAAGTAACAACTGTTGATAACGTTCCTGAAAGAGGAGTTGACATGAAGAGATTACGCAGAGCCCACGTGCTGTAAAAACTGACGTAATGCATAGCATATAGCAGGCATATCTAACTGTCCAATATCATCTAAGGTTCTGCAAGCCGTTATCAAATCAACGGACATATTGCAGCAAGATGGCAAGTTGGGCCAGTTGGATTACGTTCATAATTGTAGTTTTGTTGTTGTCAGCCTCTCCTGTTCGTGTGTTTTCGGTGCGCTTCAACAAAATTCCAATTATGAACCGACGTATTTGTGCACATAAAGTATTTGTATGTGTTTCTTGCTAGTGTACACTTACTTTAAAGCATGTTGAAAGGTACATGACTGGTATTGCTGACTCTTTGCACATTCTGTTGCTGTGCGTGTGAAAATACACAGATGCTCACTTTTTGATAATAGTTATGTGATCTGATACATGTGCAATTTATCTCGGAGCACTACTCCGTGCTAGCACAAATGAAGTAAGCATGCACAAATGGTCTTATGGGTAGAATGTCAGGTTGTTATGCTAGGGCACCTTGTTTCAATCCCAATGATGTAATATTTTATTGGATATGCCCAAAATGAGACATGATAAAAAAAACTTACCGTGGAAAGGAGATTGAAAAAATATTCTTTTTATACATTGGAGAGCAAATTTTGGAGAAGTAAGGAAAGACAAAATATGTTGCATAGAAGTGTGTGTGTGTGTGTTTGAGTATAATAGATCTGTAACATGTGGAGACACAATATTTTCATATTATGCTTTTGCCAGTACTGTAGAAATCGACGCTTGCATGTCTGATGTAAATGGCAGAATATGGTTCATTACAGCAAAAAGATTACAATTGTTGTTTGTTCTAAGCATTGATGGTTTGCAATTGTTCCAAATTAATTCTTGATTTAGGAGACCAAAAACATGCTAGTTTTGTGGTCAAGATGCTGGCTTTGAAATCCAGGGCCAACTCTAGGAATAGTCCCAATGAACATACAACACATGGGGTGAGAACAAGGGCGTGCACTCTGCCAAAAGTTGGTTTATCGAGCATTAACATGCATAAAGAAGGGAGGGGAAAGAGGAAAGGAGAAGGGCTTATGTGAATGGGTGTGAAGACGTTAGACCAAGGTGCCTCTGATTAGTGTTTGAGATATCGGAATGTCTTGTCTGCTAGGGTGAGCGAAGCGGCACCGATACTTTTTCACATCGAGTACGTTTTAAATATTTCACCTGCCTGATTGTTCTTGTATCTGTGCACCACTAGGGCTCTCTTCAAGAGCGGAGAGCACCCACAGTCTGCGCAATGGATGGCTAAATTGCTATTGTGCCTGTTTTTGACCTTTAAGTATACACTTATTTCCCCTATATAATATTGTGTGTGTGTGTGATCATTAAGCTCATCATTTCCATGTGTTGTTTTACATATTTATAGCTGTCAAGTAATGAATGCCCCACAAGGTTAAATGTTGGGAGTAGGGGTGCTTTGAATAATTTTTAATCAAATTGTGTAGAGTATAGTGCCTGTCGGTATGTAATGTGCCAATTTATTTGCTTTTTAAATGCAGTTCTCAGCTGACAAAATATTTATTTTGGGCCTCTACTGACGTTGACTTGCTTATTGTACCTATAATAAATATGTGCATGCAGAGAAGTGGTGTTTACTTTTTACTACCTATTCTTTCTAGAATGGTTTCCAAATTATGTTAAATATCCTATACCTTTCTCGTAGTGAAACTTGACCGATATAACTGCTAACAACCAATTTGCCATATTGGGACATACAATATTGAGAACTTGGTATCTTAGTAGGCCTCATATGTTCATCTGACTGATTCAGACATTACTGTGATTACCCATAAAGAAAACCACTACTGCTTTAGGCACAGAGTTTTAAAGGAATGGCATCTCTGTCGCAGGGGTGATGCAATGTTTCCCACCAGAGACACTATCATCCATGGCCTACATAAGGACTCCAAGGACGACATAGACCGTATGGTAGATGACCTTGAAAAACAGTGAGCTATTTTAATTTTTTGTCTTTATAAACTCTACTGTTTTTTCTAAGGATTAGAATTGAATTTACCAAATCCTTTTTCTCCTTCATTTAGAATTGAAAAGAGGAACAAGTACAGCCGACGTCGACGCTACGACGACGATGAGGACATTGACTACATCAATGAGCGCAATATGAAGTTCAACAAGAAGCTGGATCGGTTCTACGGAAAGTACACGGCAGAAATCAAGCAAAACCTTGAGAGAGGAACTGCTGTATAGTGTTTCAACTCTTGCACAGAAAATCTTTTCTTCTACGCGCACACACACACTCATAAATGTAAACTAATAAACAAGTACATACTATATCAAGACTTGACTTTCTTCCTTTGATGTACTATTTAGACTAGTGTCTTCTGTGAAATGCTATTTAAATTTCTTTTGTTTGAACACTTGCAGTGTTGTGAAGGCCACAAGCTTAGAAACATATTGTCAAAAGCTCGACAGCAGCTAGTACACCAGTATGATATGCCATGTATTAAAGTACTTTTTTTAAGTAAAGTAGTTATAGCACAGGATATGTTATTGTAATATTCTAGATTGACTCCACTTAAAGGGGCCCTGCAATACTTTGCGAGCATGGGAAGAAAACTCTGCCGATCGGCAGTCAAGACACCCCCCCTCCCAAAGAACACGTGAGCGGATATTATAGTTCTGCACGTGGCCTGGAATTTACAATTAATTCTCAGTCTGCTAGAAATTGCTCTCTTTTCTCTACATATGATGTCATATACCCAAATGTTTGGAGTCTGTCCACGGTCGTTGTCTCAATTCTAGCATTGTGGGTGGCATAGTTGCCACGGCTGCTGGGAAGTGGCACTATGTGCCGCAGTTGCACTGAAAGTAAGTCGTGTGTTTTAAGGAAAAAAAAAAAAGTGCTCAAAATCGTGACCTGTGCTGATGAAGGTACACATCTTGTACCTTATCCCCCATACTGCATATCTTGTAGTGCACTAGGAAGTGCTTTGACACGTGCAACAGATTCTTGCAACTCTGTTTGCACTTAACAGATTCAAAAAATTTTTTGTGGCATGCGATTCATGCAGCATCATGTACTAATAGACTATTTCATTATAACTTGTTAAGTGTTACAGGGCTTCATTAAAATATGATACATCTCATCTCTTTTCTTTACTGGTAAATAATAATGCGAGACCTCACCACGGTGGTCTAGTGGTTAAGGTGCATG